AGTTGTCCTCACTGGTCACGCAGCCGCTTCTTGGGTTGACGACTTGGCTGCGCAGCGGTCGTCACAGGGTTACACCTTTAGCCTTGGTTCCGGCTCTGTTTCGTGGCGGGCTACTCGCTCGTCTTCTGTTCTTGGCTCCAGTTGCGAGGCTGAGATCTACGCCGGGGCCATGGCTGCACAGGAGCTTCGCTGGCTCACCTACCTGCTGACTGACCTCGGAGAGCCGCCTTGTTCTCCTCCAGTGCTCTACGTAGACAACAAGGCCATGCTGGCCTTGTGTCGAGAGCAGAGACTGGAGCACAGAACGAAGCACATTGCTCTTCGCTACTTCCTTGCTCGTGAGCTACAGCAGCGTGGTCAGCTGCGACTTGCGTACGTGGCCTTTGAGGCCAACACTGCTGATATCTTCACCAAGGCACTTGCGCCTTGTGATCATCAGCGCTTCTGTACTCAGCTGGGTCTTGTGCCTACCTTGCCTCACTTGCTCACCTCTTGACCTTGTTTGTACTGTTGCATATATATATACTCCTGCTCTTGCTTGTTTAGCCTTATATATATATGTAATCCTGCATGTGAACTGGCCTTGTGGCCTTGAACTTGTGCTCGGAATGTGTGGTGACTTTGTGATCCACCCTGAGCTTGCTTTGCTTTGCTTGACTGGTCTTGTGACCCCTTGTTCTCCCCCACTTTGCCTATGGGGGTGTGTCAGAGTTATTTGACATAGTTACTGTAGGCTATAGTGGGGTAGCACATATGGGGTACAGTTTCCTAGGGTTTGCCTTTTGTACCCAACTTTCACTTAGTCATTTCATTCCTGTTTTCTTGATTCACAGTACTTTCTACCGCTAGAGTACGGGGTGGCTGTACCTGGGGGAGCAGAGGCAATCATCCACAGCGCCCGAGCATACACAGACGCACTCCCAGACTGCCTCGTCTTGCAAACCGACATCTCTAACGCTTTCAACAGCATATCGAGACAAGCGATAATCACAGCATTACAAGAACCGGCCCTATCACCCCTGCTGCCCCTAGTGAAACTGACCTACGGCCATCCGTCTTCACTGCTCCTAGACGCTAGCTTCAGTAGCACGCCACTGAAAAGTGAACGAGGGGTACGATAGGGGGACCCCTTAGGTCCCCTATTGTTCGCGGCTGGAATTCACCCAGCACTACAAGCAACAGCTACCGCACATCCAGGCGTACTGTGCCTGGCGTACACCGATGACGTCAGCTTTTTGGGCAAACCTCAAGAGACGGTCGCCGCTTTTTCCCACTTCACGGACCAACTCTCTCAAGTAGGTTTGCGGCACAATCCAGGAAAATCCGCCGCATGGAGCAGCCGTCCGTTAGACGAAACAGTGAAGCTGCCGCCCGGGGTACCAACCAGTAACGATGGAGTCAGGCTCCTCGGCAGCTTCCTAGGAACACTAGACGGCGCAGCCTCCTTCCTCTCTGCACAGTTACAGGCCATGTCCAAGCCGCTGCCCCTGATAGAACGGATGGACCCACAGCTAGCATCCCTTCTGCTCACCCGCTGTATCTCACGCCGAGTAGCCTATCTCACACGCACAACTCCACTGCACCTTCTGGACGGCAGTACATGGTCACAGTGGGGTAGAGACCTACTGTCCACCCTCCTAACGGCGTGCGGCATACGATTCCCAGCAGACAGCACTGAGCAAACTCGGGTCTGGGAGCAGTCATCGCTTCCACCGTCATTAGGGGGCATAGGACTCACGGACCCCACGGTCGAGGGTACATTTGGCTTCGTAGCAAGCTTCACACAGGCATCACTCCTCCTTAGCACCCTACCGCTAGAGTCGGAAGAAGCCCTGACGGCGGTCAGGGACCACATGCTGCTGCCGCGAGACGTATCTACCGACCTGCATCGTTGGCTGTCCGAATGTGAAGCGTCGCTCCCACAGGAAGCCAGAGACATCCTAGACAAAGAGCGACTAGAGCCAAAGGGTTTGAAGCTGCAGCACGAGCTCGGGGTGAGGGTGCAGGGCAGCAGATATGCATCGCAAGTGCAGGCAACACGGCTCATGAGGCTAAACCCACTGTCAGGCCATACACAACGGTTTTTCTCACTGACAGGCTACGGTACAGGGGACTGGCTGACAGCAGTACCAATAGAATCAACCCGACGCGTAGGGGCAGAGCACTTCGCCAACGCTGTCCGCTTCAGGCTCGGGCTTCCCTTCCCCACACCGAAAAACTGTGACTGTTCTAAACACATCGAGATCAAAGACCCACGGCTTCCTAACCACCTATTCCGCTGCGGCACAGGAAAGCACAGAACCAACACCCACAACGAACTGCGGGACGCGTGCATCACAATGGCACAAGACGCTGGCTTTATAGTCTACAGGGAATCAGTAGCATATTGCCCCATAGAAGAACAGACCGCGGACTTCACCATGCGCTGCAGGAGCACAGGGGCGGTCTATGCCTGCGACGTGACTATCACAGACCCCATTAGCACTAGGGACCCCAAGGCTTCCAAAGGGAGGGGATGGGCGGCAAGGGAGGCAGCAGACAAGAAAATCAGTCACTACGCTAACCGGCCTGACACGGTCGGTTTCTTTCCCTTGGCGGTCGAGACATATGGCTGCCCCTGTGCCGAGGTCCCACAGTTTCTGAAGTTGTTAGCGGATACAGCTGCTCGGTGCCACTTCAACGCCCAACCAACCTCATATCACGCAGCTAGATTCCTCCACCTCTTCAGGCAGAGATGGTCCGTGGCTCTCCAAAGAGCACAGTCCGTAGGGTACCTCATAAAGTCTTGTCAGGCGGCTGTGGCCGAGAATCCCCCCGTGGGGGGGGTGCAGTCCGAGCTCCACCTTGGGGACTGCTGTACTGTGCTAGAACCTCTCATGGATCTGGAAACAGGCACTACGTGTAGTTAAATGGTTGTTTGTTTGCTATTCCTAGTCCTAGAAAGCATACATTGCATGTTTTGTACCTTTCCTATAATCAATACAAGGACCATTAGAGAAAGAGAGAGGCACCTAGTGACTTAGCCTCTCAAGCCTCCAAAGCCTCCATAGCTCTAGTATAAAGGCTGTTGTGGCCTCGTTCCCATTTCATTATTCGGTTTTTGCTTCAGTTTTCTCCCAAACCGAGCAGGAGAGAGAGTGAGAGAGAGAGAGAGAGAGAGAGAGAGAGAGAGAGAGAGAGAGAGAGAGAGAGGGTTAGCCTCTGCCCTCTGCCCCTAGCCTCTGCCCTCGGTTTCCTAGGTACTTAAGTGGCTGTTGTAGCTTCCTCTGCTCATTAATCATTTGTGGGCCGGAAATTTTTCGCTCGCGCGAGAGAGCGAGAGAGAGAGAGAGAGAGGGGACCCTAGCCTCTGCTCTCTTCCCTCTGCCCTCTTCCCACTGCCTCCCTAGCCTATATAAGAGGCCCTTTGGGGTCTCTCTTCCTCATTATTTGTGTGGTGGCTGCAATTTTTCGCTCGTTCGAGAGAGTGAGAGAGAGAGAGAGAGAGAGAGAGAGAGAGAGAGAGAGAGAGAGAGAGAGAGGACCCTTGCCTCTGCTCTCTTCCCTCTGCCCTCTTCCCACTGCCTCCCTAGCCTATATAAGAGGCCCTTTGGGGTCTCTCTTCCTCATTATTTGTGTGGTGGCTGCAATTTTTTGCTCGTTCGAGAGAGTGAGAGAGAGAGAGAGAGAGAGAGAGGACCCTAGCCTCTGCTCTCTTCCCTCTGCCCTCTTCCCACTGCCTCCCTAGCCTATATAAGAGGCCCTTTGGGGTCTCTCTTCCTCATTATTTGTATGGTGGCTGCAATTTTTTGCACAGCTATTTATATAAGAGCTGACCCCCTATGCGGCCACACCCAGCGGCTATTGTCCCTCACTGGCTACGGTGCGGGGGACTGGCTGATAGCCATCCCCTACATGCCCTCCCTCTGCCTCGATCCTGACCACTTCCCATTCGCCCTCCAGTTCCGCCTAGGACTGCCTCTCCCCGTCCCTGACAACTGCACAAAGAGAGTCGCCATAGCAGACAAGCGCCTCCCCAACCACCTCCTCCGCTGCGGCACAGGACACGGACGGACCAACACACACAACGAGCTGAGGGATGAGTGTGTGCGTATGGCTCAGGACGCGGGGTTCATAGTGCACAAGGAAAGCACGGCGTTTAGCCCGGTTGACAACAAGAAGGCCGACCTGGCCATTCGGGACAGAAGCAGTGGGGCGGTGTGGCTGGGCGACATAACCATCACCGACCCTATCAGCAAACGGGACGAGACTGCCAGGAAGGGACGGGGATGGGCAGGGAGGGAGGCAGCAGATAAGAAAATCGGGCTATACCACGGCAGGGCTGAATTTGCAGGCTTTTACCCGCTGGCAGTCGAGACCTATGGCTGCCCGTGTGATGAGGTGCAGGCTTTCCTGAAGCACCTGGCGGACAGAGCAGCACGCTTACACTTCAACGCGGACCCCTCAAGCTTCCAGGCCGCAAAGCTGCTGCACCAGTTCCGCCAGCGGTGGTCTGTCGCCTTGCAAAGGGCACAGGCAGTGAGCTTCCTTATCAAGATGAACCTGGCAGCCCAGAAGGAGAACCCAGCCTTAGGAGGCCCCGAGGGGAGTGCTTTGCTACCCTCGAACCGGGCAATGGTAGCGAGCAGAAGACTTGGGGGGGAGGGGGGGAAAGGGGTAGGGAGGATAATAGTTAGACATACCTGTTTGTTGCTTGCTTGCTTGCCTTTGCTGTTTTCTCTTTTCTATATCAATACAAAGGACCGTTCGAGAGAGGGTTAGCCTCTGCCCTCTGCCCCTAGCCTCTGCCCTCGGTTTCCTAGGTTCTTAAGTGGCTGTTCTAGCTTCCTCTGCTCATTATTCATTTGTGGGCCGGAATTTTTTCGCTCGCGCCGGCCGCCTTGAGGGAACGGCAAGAAACAGCACATAAATGTTGTCTATAACCAAAGGCATTACATGCATGGCAAACCCGACCGCGGCCTAGTCGCGCGACGCACTAATGGGGCAAACGGAGCCCGCGTCTACATGCGGTGAGCTCCAAGGGCGTGAAGAACGCCCGTCAGGGAGCGCCACAGCTCCCGGACCACAAGCGTGCTTGCGCCGATCGCCGCGGCTCCAGATCCAGCGCGCAAATGCCGCCTCAAGCCCCGGACAGCCTCGTCAAGCTGTCCCGCAGCGGCAGCGCCACCCTCCGCGGGCGCAGCCAGCACGGGCGCCAGGAGCACTGCGAGCTGGTCTGCCGCGTCCAGGCAAGTGTCACGCTGGCGGCCACGGAAGGACTCAGGAGGGATTACGAGGTGAGATGAATGTGCAACCACCTGAATCAGCAGCAGCGCGTGAAGACTCTCAGCGAGGCGATGGAGCTGACCTAGCATCGCCTCTGGAACACAAGTCTGCGGAGGCTGAAGCGCCTCCGCCAGGAACAGGAGCGGCTGATCTTCATCAGCGGGATGCGAATACTGCCCCGCAAAAGCGCCGCCACCAGCGGCCACAAATTCCACCCCCGCAACAGGCGGAACCGGCGGCAAGCGAAGACGCGCTCCAGGGGCGAGCGCCGACGGAGCGGGAGCAGGAGCCGTTGGGATATGAACCTGAGGAGGGGGTGCAGCGACAGGCGGTGGACTCAAGGGGAGCACAGGCTGGCGTGGAGCCTCTTGGGCCGGCGAGGCGCGCATCGAACTGCTCTGGCTCTGCGACGCCCTCTCCTCACGTACCGCCCTCGACACTTCCCGCTGAAGATCTGCCATCGTCACCGGCGGGCGGTACCCCCCACCACCACCGCGCCCGCGGGGACCCCTCCAGTCCCCCTGACCACCGGGGTGAGCAGGCCAGTGAGACGGCTGCTGGAAACGCCGTGGAGAATCACGACGGCGACGAGACGACTTGCGCTCCTGGTGGGGCGCGGGGGAATGGGGGCGGGACGGGCGGCGGTCAGGTGACGGGGGGCGTGACGGCTGACCTGCCGGGGCCATCGAGGCCACAGCAGGCGCGGATTGACCCGCCGCTGAGGGCGCAACCGACGGAACCGGGCCGCCAGTGGTGGCGGACACCGCCAGCGGCGACTGCGCAACGGCGGGGATCGCCGCAAGGGGGACAACAGCGGCAGGTAGCGCAGCAGGGACGACGGGGGCAGACTGCGCAGCGACGGGAGCAGACGGTGCAGGTGGCGCAGGATCGAGACCAGCGGCAGGAGCAGACGGTTCGACAGCAGCCGCAGGAGGTGCAGGAGGAGCAGCCTGACCGGACAGAACAGCAACAGGGGCAGATGGGCCAGACTCGGGGGCGGCAAGGGGATCCGCGGGTAAGAGGGGAAGAGTCGTTTCAGAGACTGTTGTCGCGGGCTTCGGAGCTGGCGGTAGAGGGGGCGTCGTCGCCGTGGTCACCTTTTCGGGGCCCGAATGGGGCTTGGCGACCACAGCCGACCAGGCGGCAGCGCGCTCTGCCGACGGCTCGGCAGAACCAGCAATCACCATCGCTAGAACAAGGAGGCCGCGGGGCTAGGAGGCAGGCTGTTAGTGGGACAGGTGGAGGTCCGGAGAATGGGTACCAGGCAGAGGCACGAAGGGCTTTAACCGCCCTGGAAGAAGCTAATGAGGAGGATGAATTAAGAGACCCTAGTTATAGGGAAGAAGCTCTACCCGAGAGTGAAGAAGGAGAGTCGGAGGAGGAAGACGAGGCGAGGGAGGGGGAGGGCTCTAGAACTGATCAGCGTCGAGAACAGCTAGGAGCCCAGTCAGAGAGCGGTCTAGCTCCCGCACCACCGCCATGCTTGCACCGATCACATCGGCTGCAGTCCCTGCGCGTGAAAAGCGCCGCAGGCCTCGTACAGCTGTCCCCAACTACCCAACGCCCGCAACTCCTCCCCTCGCGGGCGCAGCCAACACGGGCGCCAGGAGCTCCGCGAGCCGATCCGCGGCGTCAAGACACTCGTCCCGGGAACCGCCATCCAGGGTGTCCCCACGGGAGAGACCCGCGTGATCGTACATCTGGATCAGATGCACAGCCCGCAAACCCTCAGAGAGGCGCCACAACTGCCCAAGGGTCGCCTCCGGAACCTCTGCCGCGCGGGGAGGACCCACAAACGTCTGGAACGGCTGCGCGGCACCAGCAGCATGAGGAGCAGAATCACCAGGCAGAAGGGACGGATAAGGAGCAGGGGGGACAGGAGGATGATGAGGAGCCGCCGCCGGTGCAGTCATAGGAGGTGCAACAGGAGGAGGAGCGGCAGATGCACGAGGGAACTGCTGGTTCGCCTGCAGGGCCCTCTCCTCGCGCATCGCAGCCGTTACAACCCGCTGCAAGTCCGCCATCGTCACGGGCCCATCGAACGCCTCGCCACGTCCACGACCGTGACCTCCCCTTCAGCCCCCTCGCCCACCCCATCGCGCGTGCCAGTTCTCGCCCGATGAGCGGCGCTGAGGAGACTCCTGTCGACGCCGCGAGGACTCCCGCTCATCACGCGGGAAGGGCGAATGGGGTCGTGATGGGCGGCGATCGGGTGACTGCGGACGACACAGCTGCACAGGCGGAACCAGCGGAGGCGCTGCAGGCGCCGACTGAACAGCCTCGGCAGACACCACCGCAGGGGCCGGGCCGCCAGTGGTGGCGGACACCGCTGCCAGCACCAAGTCGCCGCCAAGAGCGGCAGGGGCGACCGTCGGCCCCGCAGTTGGCGACGACACAGTTCTCGGGGCAGGCGGCAATGGCGGCTTCGCCGCGACGTTTGCCGATGCAGTCACCGGCGGTGACTTTTCGCGCACCACTGACGCAACGACAGCGTGCTTTGGCAACAGCTCGAGCCCACCAGCAATCACCATCGCGAGGAGGAAGGCGTCGGGGCGCGGGACGACGAGGAGGAAGCGGTACAGGAGGGGGACCTGAGAATGCGTTTCAGGCAGCAGGTCGACTGGCTTTAATAATGCTAGCTGCTAACATGGAGGCTACTGATCCCGAGGAAGCAGCGGACCCTACTTATAGGGAGGAACCTCAACCACTATCCAGCAGCGGCGAGAGTGAAGGACACGGGGAGGAAGGACAAACGAGGAGAGAGAATCGAGTTAGGGGGCGAGATGCAGCTGCGCAGCTGAGGAACGGAGGGGAGTCACGGGCTGGCAATCGGACAGCCACAAATCCAACCACATCAACCACCCCATCATCGAGCCGCATCCGCGCACATCGGACCGCGAGCGCACAAACCAACACGGCGCCGCAGATGCCACCCCCGCGCTATTTTTCGCCAGAAGAGCTGGCGAGGCACGCAAACAGGTTTGCAGAAGTGGCAAACTGGGACATAACGGAGCTCTGCGATAGTCGCCAACCCCCTCTATTACGACGATTACCGCCCAATTTGTGCCACTTCTTCTCGCTGGCATTACTGACACCGCTACTACTCCTCTCGCGAAACCCCGACTCCATCGCAGGCTGGCGGTTACTGTTTTTTCTCCCACGCCTAACACTGCGCCAGGCCTCAACACGGCATCCAGATTGGTCGCAGGTCAAGGCGCGGCTGCGTGCATTCCAACGAGGAGAATGGGAGCAGCTGTACTCTGACGCAGTTGAAGCGGTCAACACACCACCCCTGCCGCGTCACCAGCCAGATGACGCGGGCGTCATCAGCCGAGCCGAAGGGTTGGCAAAGCGGGGAAGCCTACGTCGGGCTGTCTTGGCTCTGGAGTCAACACCAGTCTGCAAACCGAGTCCCCAAATTCTGGACGAGCTCCGCCGCAAGCACCCACTAGCCGACGCCGAACCACTGGACTGGCCACCCAGCACCAAACCAGCAGGACTGGAAATTGCCCACGTAGATTTTGTGAAGTTACTGAGCCGATGCGAGAACGGGGTGGGAGCCGGCCCGAGCGGGACGACCTTTGAACACATTCGCGACGCGGCGGTCACAAACGCATTCGTCTGCACCCACCTCCACGCCTTGGTTAACACTATCCTGAAAGGGAAACTGCCGCAGCCTGTAGCTGAACTGCTCACGCCATCACGTCTGATAGCCCTGGCCAAGCCAGAAGGTAGTGCCCGCCTGATAGCGATAGGCGAATGCCTGACACGTCTGGCAGCAAAGGCCGCGCTGACAGTCCTGGGTGAGGCGGCCCGAACCTATTTCCTCCCCCTCCAATTTGGCGTGGCAGTACCAGGGGGAGCCGAGGCAATCATCCACAGTGCACGGGCCTACGCCGACACAAAACCAAACTGCCTTATCCTACGAACAGACATTTCGAACGCGTTCAATAGCATCTCGCGTCAAGCTATAATTACGGCATTACAGGACCCAGCCCTCTCGCCACTGCTGCCGTTAGTCTGTCAGACCTACGGCCAGTCGTCACTGCTCTACTTAGACACCGGTTTCAACAGCCCGCCGCTGACCAGCGAACGCGGGGTCCGGCAAGGGGACCCCTTAGGACCACTCCTCTTTGCAGCCGGGATACATCCCGCATTACGAGCAACTGCGTCAGCACATCCAGATGTACTCTGCTTAGCTTACGCGGACGACGTTAGCTTCCTAGGTGACCCACGCGAGACGGTCGCGGCGTTCTCACACTTCATAGGCCAGCTAGCACGAGTAGGGCTACGGCATAACCCTGGGAAGTGCGCCGCGTGGAGTCGTCAACCGTTACACCATACGGTACAGCTGCCGCCAAGAGTGCCGTTTTGCAACGAAGGCGTTAGACTCCTCGGCAGTTTCTTAGGTACAGAGGCCGGCGCTGTCGCTTTACTATCAGACCAGCTATGGGCCATGTCCAAGCCATTGCCGCTAATAGAACACACGGATCCGCAGATTGCGTCGCTACTGCTCACGCGCTGCATTTCACGACGAGTAGCTTACCTCACACGAACGACGCCGCTTCACCACCTGGCTCGCGACACCTGGTCCTAGTGGGGCAGGGATCTGCTATCCACACTTCTAACTGCATGCGGCATACGCGTTCCAACAGATAGCGTAGAGCAGACCCGGGTCTGGGAGCAGTCATCACTCCCACCGTCGCTTGGCGGAATAGGACTTACAGACCCGACGGTGGAGGGGACTTTCGGCTTCCTCGCCAGTTTCACCCAGGCCTCGATGCTACTGAGTACACTAGAGTTAGGGCCCAGCGACGCCCTGACTACGGTTCGAAATCACATGATGCTGCCACGGGACACAGACACTGCCCTGCACTCGTGGCTGACTGAATGCGAGGCGACACTACCGCAGGGTTCCATGACAAGGGAGCTGGCAACGCTCGGCCTCCGTTGCAACATCGCAAAATCATCAGCATGGGGACAAACACTCGCGGACGACGACGGCACGGCACCTCCTATCGGCCTGCAGCAGATCGCAGACGGGATTCGGGTTCTAGGCAGCCCAGTCGGCTCGCCTGCCTTTTGCACCGCCCAAGCACAGTCGAGGCTAGATGAGGCGTTGGCCCCATTACCTCTGGTGGCGCAGCTCCACCCGCAGAGCGCAATGCTCATCCTCACGAGGAGCATATCCTGCCGAATCTCCTACCTACTGCGGACAACACCGGCGGAAGTATTGGATAGAGAGGGGTGGAGGGGCTAGAGTGCAGCACTAGCAGCGGCGAAGCTTCGGGTACCCCCAAACGAGCTGGAGAGGAGTCTGTTGTGGCGCCAGGGAACTCTACCGGTCAGGTTGGGGGGATTGGGGATTATTGACCCCGTCTCAGAGGCACCTGCCGCCTACATTGCCTCGGTCACGGCGGCGCAGCAACTACTACGGCAGATGAACCTACCTGAGGCCTACCTCTTGAGCAGGGCGGTCGAGCTGCTGAACCACGAGTGGACCCCTGACCCTCCCGGTATCAACCCCCTGACACCACTGGAAGCTGGGCTGCCCATGGCTGCACGGGCGGCACTACACATCTACAGGGAGCAGCCGGCAAGGCAGGGGAACCTTCACCTGACCCTGTCTCGCCACATCAACGAGACAAGGGCGGCGGAGCTGCTGGCTGACACGATAGAGGACCGCCCAGGGAAGGACCGGGGGCACGCAGTGTGGCTCATCAGTTTGCAAGGGGTGGGAGCGGGGGACTGGCTCCATGCCATCCCAACGAGATCTGACCTTACATTTGCCCCTGGTCAGTACTCGTTGGCATTTGGCTTCCGCCTCGGCATGGCCCTTCCAGTCACAGTTGCCTGCCCGTGCAAGCGTGCCAACACAGCAATCACCGATACGAGCCTAGCAAACCACCTCTTGCGGTGTGGTTACGGGGGAGATGTCATCTGCACACACAATCCGGATGGCAAAGGAGGCCGACTTCACTGTTTTCCACGAAACCACTGCCTTCTCCCCACCGGTGATCAGGAAGAGAGGCGATCTTGCTATCCGTGACAAGGAGTCGAATGAGACATGGGTCACCGACGTGACGGTGACTGATCCAGTACTGCAGTGCCGCGACAAACGCGCCCGGAAGCGTCCTGGATGGGCGGCAAGGGAAGCCTGGGAGAGGAAACACAGGATCTATGAGGGGCGGCCTGATTACGTCGGTTTCTTTGGGTTGGCAGTGGAGACGTACGGTGCCTTAGATATGGATACACAGCAGTTTATCCGCCTGCTAGCAACCTCGGCGGCAAAAAGGAGGGTTTGCCAAGGGAGGCTCACCACCACCACTGCACGGCTCCCCGCTCACTACAGGCAGCGCTTCAGTGTCATGCTCCAGCGCTCACAGGCGACGTCATTCCTGAACAAGTCTAACATAGGCGACGTGGCAGCCTTCTCACAGACGGCTAGGGACCCTTGGGAACCTAGCCTAGGGGACCTCTGGCAGGTCCTTGAGGATGAGATGGACGGGGTGATGGGTCAGTAAGCAGGATAGCTGCGGGCTAGGTGTCTAGCTGAGTGTTAGGCACAACAGGCATTGCCGGTCTTGCCCTGTCTTGTTTGCGTTGCCTTGCCTTCCTTGCCTTGCCTTGCTTGCCTTGCTCGGCTTGGGGTTGCCTTGTCTATCTGCAATGCCTGTTGTGCCTTGCCTTGCCTTGCCTTTCCGCCTCTGCCGGTGAGAGAGAGAGAGGAACGGAAAGAGAGAGAGAGAGAGAGAGAGAGAGAGAGAGAGAGAGAGAGAGAGAGAGAGAGAGAGAGAGAGAGAGAGAGAGGAACGGAGAGAGAAAGAGGAACGGCCTACGGGACGGAAGGAGAGGACAAACACACACAACGCCTTAGTGTATACAGCGCTACGCATGGCCAGCGAAGCCGACTACCTCACCTTGCATGAGACCACGGTCTACTCGCAACCCGTCAACCCCAAGCGAGCGGACCTGGCCATCAAGGACAGGGAGTCGGCCGAGACAAACGTGACCGACGTCACGG